CATCTCTCCTAACTTCTTTCAAGCAATAATATTTGATTGAGGCAGATAATCATATAGGGATGGGTCATTCATATTGGACTTCAACTGCAATGAAGTAATGATAATTGATTCGTTAATAGTTACGTGAAGTGCGTCGAGGAATGGAGCTGGATATTTTAGATATTTTACAAAATCTCCACGTACGTCTAAATATCTTCAAGCAGTAACATTGGAATTTCAGACATGACTTCAACCGCAACGAAGTAATGATAATTAATTTGTTAATAATTATGTGAAGCACTTTGAGTAATGGAGCTAGATATTTTCCAAAATCTCCACGTACGTCTAAATATCTTAAAAGTTTATAATATCATATTGTACAATACATTTAATATTTATTTTCTCCTATCATGCATGAATCATATATGGGAGAATGATAGATGGGTTTTAAATGGATCAATTAATTTAAATTAAGTCTTAAAGTATCAAAGTCTAAAAATTTACAAGTTTGACTCTCAATTTTATAATTTTATTATGACAAATTTATAATTTGTGTTTCAAACTTTAACAAAAAAATAAATTTATTTATTCTTCAATCATATTAAAATTTAAAAAATAAATTGTAAATTCGTCACTGCAAAGTTGAGAGTTTAACTTGCAAATTTTTAAAATTTAATATTTTAGAATTTAATTTAAATTAATTAGTCCTCTTGAGACTTCTTAGCCATTCTCCCATCACATATTGATATGAAGTGATTCTTAATATGTGTATAATATTTTCTCTAGTACTATTTATAAGTTACTTCTATGATTTTCACCAAAATAAGAAAAATCTTAAATATTATTGATTTTGTCTAAAACTTTAACAAATTTTTAACTTTACTTCTATTAAATATACCTACATGGCTACTTTAAAAATAAAATACTTTAACATTTGATAAACTTTTTAATATTTAATAGAGGAAAAATGATAAAAAATAAATATAATAATTATTAAGGTGCTTTGGGGCGAGACGAGAATTTGCTTAGTCCTTCCACAGAAAAACCCATCCTTAATCTTGTGCCTGAATTAAATATTATTTTTTAATAAACTAAATTAATTATTATTGCTTAAAATAACTAAGAGAGAAGAAAAAGAGGCTTAAAAAGTGTCATACCCCATTCTTTTTTTTTTCCTGGGACAGAAGTGTCATACCCTATTCATATGAAAAGCTTATATTAATATATAAACAGTCCTAATAATAACTAAATATAAAATATTCTTCAAATCTTCATAGAATAAATATTAAAGATAACAAATTTCAACAAAATAAATCTTAGTAAATTATATATCCTAGCACTCTCTCTCAAATTCAATATACTCTTGAGTTTTTAATAACTTGCTTTGCTTAAGAATAAATCTCAATATAATATACTGTAAACCTTTTTCAAATTCAAGATGCCCTTAAGTTTGTGACAACTTGCATTACTTAAAAATAATTCTTGAGAGCTTTTCATATTAACAGAGTCGGCACTTTTTAAAATTTTCTTTTTTTTTTCTCTCTTGACTTCTGTCAACTATGATGAAACGAATAAAGGGACCGTCTAATCTCAAAGAATACTGGTCGACGTGAATAAAAAAGAAAAAGAAACATTTTTGTAAAGGAACTGGATCCATAAAGAACTTGGAAATGCATCCCTTTGGTTTCTTCTTATAGAGCTGTTTCTCAGATATGTATCTATTGGAAAACCCAAAATAACCTCCCAAAAACCCAAAAAAAAAAAATGAAACAACACAAACAAATATATACATTCATCACACAGACTGTGTGTGTGAGTGTGTGTGTGTTGGGGGGGATATTGGATAGAGTCAGTTAAAATTAAAGTTAGTTTGCAATCACTGCCAAAAGATATTCTCCTTTATTTTTAATATAATTTTCCTGATTAAAAGTACTGTACAATATGATATTCTAAACTTTCAAGATATTTAGACGTACGTTGAGATGTAAAAATATCTAAAATATCTAGCTCTATTCTGCAAGGTGCTTCACATAATTATTAATGGATTAATTAACATAACTTCGTTGCATTTCTTAAGTCATGTCTGAAATTCCAAAATCCTTAACTTTTCAGAAACGGAATCATTAAGATGGGTTTCTCATGTCACCCGCAATTGCCGGCCAGTCTCCCACTGGCAAAGTTACTATCTCAATGTCACTATATTATACTGGCTTTATTGTTCAAATATATATAGGAGAAAATAAATAATTCATATAGTTCAAGAAAATTAGTTAAATATAATAATTGTACTTGAAATGATGTAATTAATGAAATAAATTTATCTAGTGAAAATAAATATGAACTTTATAAGGGACAATTTGAAAAAAAAAAGTGAATAAACACTTCTTGAAATTTATAGTTTTACTTATAAATAAAAACAAGGAGATACTGAATACTAGATTACAAGAGAGAGAGAGAGATACCAAGTGAGTGTAGCACAAATAGCAGGGGTCTTGCCTTTAAGCATCACTTTGGGATTCAATTTTTGGGAGTATGTATGAAAAAATATCTTTTAAGAAAGGATAACCCCTTAAAAGACCCTCAAATCCCTTCAAGAATTACCCCCCGAGGAATTTTTGGATAACCCAAAAAAAGAGAGAGAAACTCCTAATGATTTCCGTTATATTTGATAATAGAGGAAGTATTATATCTAGAGCAGCTAATTGGAACAAGCCGGGCCTAAAATTCTTGAATGCATAAACAGACTATATAACCAAACTTAATATATCTGGTTTTCAAGATTATTTGAGATGACCTGAATATCTAAATTATTAGAGCTTTTTTTTTAATCCTATTTTATTTAATTTTATTTTTTTGAGTTAATTTCAATTTTTACTTTAAAAATTTAAGATTTTTCAAGCAACTCACATATTTCTTGCCTTTACTTTACTAGTGTAAGACTAAGCATTAAAAAAGTAAAAATAAAAATATATGAAGTAACCTTTTGTATTTATTTTTCATTAACATTTGTTAAAAAAATCAAAACAAACAGTTGTTTGAAACTTTATTTGAGTGTGAAGTGATGTGAAAATTGGAAATCTCGAAGATGGTTTGTGAATAAAAAGTGAACGTTAATTTTACTTTCTTTATATGAAAAATATATATGAGTTGGGTTTTGGGGACTAATCTCTGTTGACTAATTTCATTTTTCCTTTTATTGTTTAAAAAAATAAAGTTTCTGGGTTAAATTCGTTGGTTCAGGCTTGTTTGGGCAACATGAATAAATTCAAAGTAAAGAAAAAATTTTAAATTTTCAAATTCAATTCTGAATTATTCAAGCTAGCTCATTGAGTTATTTAACCTAAATCAATGGCTCTATTGGATCCAAGAGAAAAAATGGAAGGCTTCGTTATATTGTATGAACTTAAACAGAGGTAGAGAAAATTCTCGCACGATTTGAAAAGTACAAGGGATTCAATTGTAGTCACACACACAATATTCGAACATGTAATTTATTGATTATATTGACACAACACGCATTCAAATTATTCATCACCAGAGTCCAGACCAGAGCGAGATTCCACATGAAAACGAGAGCAGATTGAATGAGTTAAGTTAATTAATTTAAAGAAGCCACGAAATTATTGACTTCCAGCTATCTAGAAGGTGACGAAGTTAGGAGAAAAAGGTGAAAATTGCAAAAGATTATCCCCTTTAATATTCTGCATTCTTATTGGTCCATCAAAGGTTTTCACCCATACCCACACATGAACAAGATGATAGATTTGTTCACTAATTTGCGAATTCTTCTTGATAATGATTTCGGAATAATTTATTTCCTTTCCCTCGTCTCCATTTTTTTGGTACGCGACGTAAATTCAAAAAGATAAGTATTCTTGTTGATTTTTTTGGTAACATCGATATCTGGGAGTAATTAATGCAAAATTGTGAATTTATCTCCAAACTATTATATCACCTTTAAATTTTTATATGGACCTGATGCATCACATTATTCATGCTCCATCTAATAAAAATAATATTAAATATAAATTTATTCTATACATTTTGTTATAAAAATAAAGTCATTAAAAATAATGACATTTAAGATTTAGATCTATTGAATTGATGTGATTTTATTAGATGGAATATGAATGGCGTGATATACTAAGTCTGTGCAAGAATTTCTCGACTGGTATTTATTCCAAAGTTGAATTTGATATTATCCTATGTATTATATTATATAGCTAAGGGCATTGATATTAATCATTCTGAAAAAAATTATTAGTTATTATATAATTTTGATTTGATTTAAAACTCAACCTTTAAATTTTGACTAAGTTCAACTAAATTTTTATAATTTTAATTCAGTTAAAATTCAGTCTCTTAATTTGACTTAGTAAGGCTTAGTCCTATAGTTTTAACAATTTAAAATATCAATTTATATATTTTTTAAAAAAATAAAATTATAAAAACTAAAGTTATTTCTTGAAACTTATGAACTAATGTCTTAAATGACAAATTGTAATGATTAAGTTCTGCAGAAAAAGTTTAAGGATTTTTTTTTCCCGGACCAACGAGAAAGTTTAAGGATTAAGGTTTAAGGATTAAGTTTCAAGAAAGTGAAAAATATAAAATTAAGTTACACCAAGCTAAAATTTAAACACTGAGCTGCAACTAAAACTTAAATACTGAGCTAAAATTAATGAATGAAACCTGATCTTTAAACATATATATTTATCTTGCCTACCCACCAAAAGATGAAAAGCATATAATTTTATTTACTGTTGGGAGGGAGCCAGGGAGGGATCAATGTAAAGCTTATTTGAGAAGCTGAATTGGAACAAAAACCTGAATTAACTTGCAATATTCATGATTGTGTTTGTGATTTGTGAAGTGGACCGGCCTCAATCCTCATGCATGCATTCACCCGATCATAGTTCATAAAATGAACCTAACTATATTCATTTTCATATAATTCCATAAAATACTTCACAATTTTTAAACATTCGTGTTCTCAAGCATATGCATATATTTGAGGTGATTTAACTGTTAAATAAAGTTTGTAAATTTATATATAATTTGCATATGATATAAATATTTTTTTAGTCATGGGCAGCTCATTTTAAACTTTAATTTATACAGGCACATACACGACATACAATCTAGAAGAATCTAATATAATCATGAAGATCTCTTAATGTTTGAAATTCAAACTTATTAATTAATTGGCTGATTCAGATTATTGTGCATGACTTATGAAATACGAGTATACAGAATATGAAGATCAGGAAGGTATATATTCGTCACAGTTCATTTACGAAATACGTCAATCATTCATGTGTGTGTTTGTGTTTTGGTCAACACATTAAGGCCAACCTTTTAATTTTAGATCAGACAATTAAATCATGTTGATCATTGATCACTAATGACCCTCATGTCTCTCATGGTATCTTCACACGAATCTTCCTACATAGCTTGCACGACACGCACAGTAGTTAATTTTCTTTTAATACAATGTTTCATTACTTTCTAAAAAAAACAAAGAAAGAAAGAAAAATCTTCGTGATTGGACATTTTATTTTCAGTTTTCAAAATTTTTTAAAAAAGACTACTAAAATTATTGTGAGAATTACATGATGTGGAAAATCCATATATTCGAAAAGAGCCACTTGATGGTGAGGTCCACTATCCCCTTGGGTCGTAGTTATCCCTTATTCCTCCATTGTTAGGGTGTAGAATCTCCTTCTTCAAACCAAAGAAAAATAAATATTACTCAATAGGTTGACACGAAGCTAGATTAAATTATTTATGCCACATCCCATCCACAGAATTTCAATTTTATCAACACCACTACTATTCTCTCACTTGACCCACGATTTAACACATCTCTCCCTCATGATTCTGTAATTTCTATTTCCAATATGCGAAGCTGACTCATGAGTAGAACTTATCCGTTTCAGCCTAAAGCTAGAAGTTCCCTTCTAAAACAAACCATTTTATGCAAGAACTTACGGTGAGAATCTCTGGCGCATTTAATTTGCATGTAATCTTCATTTGAGATATGGCACAAACAATAGAATAATTATCTACTTCATCACACTTGTTAATTTGATTCTCAGGAATAATATGGCGAAATATGGTCCCACAATGAGGGAAGCTACTGTATCATTGCTTTATATATAAAATGGGCATGAGCTTCAGCTTCTGTACTCAAAGCGAATTCAAGCACAAGTCAGTTCCTCTTAGAACTTTTTCTGAGTTTCTCTTTTGAGTGCAGTTTCAGAAGCAGGCAAGAGCAAAGCTAAACAATGGCACCTCAGGTGGAGATTGCAAAGATATTCGGTCGACAAAAGAGTTTGGAAAACCCTCGGGCGCCTCAGAATCTGTGCCAATACAAGTTCTATCCAACTTACATGACTGCCACCACAGTAATTCAGCTGCAACCAGACGATGATCTCATTAAATGCAACGAAGCTGCTTCAAGGTCCTTCAAACGAGATAGCCGAACGGAGCTCAGCCACACAGGTTTGGTGGGTTAGTAAGATTGAAGAACATGATCATCACCACCAAAATTTCACCTTTTTGTCTCAAACTAGCTAGCTAGCAGGTAGTCAATAACCAGTAGCTTAGATATTTTCTTTTGTCTTCCTTTTTCATGGCGCTTAAGGCTTTTTCCAGATGACCAGATCATAGGCCAGTATAATACTATTGTACTACATACATATATATATATATGTATTAATGCATCTTGAAGCTTAACAGATATAGGCCCAAGATCAAGGATCTTCTTGCATCTCCAAGATCTCTAAACTTCTCCCTAGGCTCATATATGTATGTATGTATGTATGTATGTATAACTCCCTGCAAATCATGTGCAGAGCGAAGTTATTGCTGATGTATATTCGTATATCAGCCAAGTTTAATTTGTTCTTATAATCTTACTGCTTCTCTAATGAGATCTTCGTTGTAGTAACCGGTTCGGATTAACTGAGACCTCAAGGTCAAGAATTTACCTCGAAAAAGAAGTTGCGAAGCCAAATTATTAATGGACACCTATTCGCTGTGCTTGACTTAAATCTGATTTTAATCGCGCAAACTCTGAGATCATTAACAAATGCATGCCTGAGATGCTGTTCAATTTTTCTAAAGTTTATTTGTTGAATTAATAAATGAATAAATTCTGATCTGTGTTAAGTTTCATTTTTTTTCTTCTTGGCTTTCTTTTCGATCAAAAAATCACTGGACTTTGCCTTATTCTTTCGTTAAAGGTAGGGGATATAAATTCATTAATTTATGAACATGCAAACCAGTGTTATATTCTTGATTTAAACTACATATAGTTTTCACTTAAATAAAAATTATTAACCGCACGAAAGTCATGCAGTTGATCCCCTAGGTGGAATAAGATAAGGTTGTCGTTACTGTAAAAATTATTAACGGTAGGGGTAAAGATTAAATTCAGTAGACTGTGAACCTACCCCAGGCTCTCAGCAACAACCTATGCATGACACACAAAGAGCAGCAGGTTAAAGGGTCTAGAATCAGAATTTTTGCAAGGGAGTGGGTGTAAGAGAGAAACGATATGTGAAATATTGACGTATTTGTTATTCGGTTCGGTTGGCCCATGGAAGCATATTTCATGACTCGTGGAGACAGCATATTTTCCACTTCAATTGAGGTGACAGAAAGTTTTTGTTCTTTTAGAGTTACGCTCAACTCCCTTTGTGGCAAAATAACATACTACAAATTTGAGGGCAAAAGTTAGTAGTAACTAAAATACAATTGTCAATAATTTTGTGATATTTAATTATAAGAAATTTTAAAATAATTCTCTCTATTTTCAGAAAATAATTTACGTAAATTGAATTTTTGACACTAAAGTTTTATGGCACAAAGTGTATTTATATACACTTATATGCAAAATACTCATTCAATAGGTTTTAACCTACACCCCTATATAATATGGCATGAATTGAATTCTTATGAATTGAACTAATCTTCACTTTTCTTGTTATTAAACAAATCCTTCATGTTTATATTATAAATGTAACCCTTTTTTTTTTTTGGAAATACGTCAGTTAAATGAGAGGTTGAGGGAGCAAAAATAGGCCAAATTATGTGGTACAATGCATACTAGACAACATCACTAATTTTAGGTCCCATTTAATATCCACAAAATGCAAAACATACTCCACGTATATCAGAAGCCAAAAATAGAATCAATGGTTAGTGTCAACCTTCAAAAGACAGGGTATAAATCAAATAGGGGAAGCCAATTAGCGGGATCATTTCCCTCATATTTTCGTGAAAGCCTCCCCAAAGGATACGTAAAGAGGGACTATATTTTCCCCATTTCAAGTCCTAGCCTCCATTCCCAGGAGGCTACGACGTGCTTCAAAAGACATATTTATACACAGAAAAAGAAGAAGATCGATCCATATATTCGCACACATCAACAGCAAAAGGGGTTTGAGGAATCGAAGTGCAATATATAATGGACAATGCAGGAAGAGCAATCGTTCTTGCATTGTGCATTACTCTGGTGTGTTGTGATGACAATGGTGGTGGTGGAGGTAAAAGGAAAATACCAGTCGCGGGGCCAGACCTATTCAAGGGTATTAATTTAGCCAAGGACACTCTTGTTGCTGGTGAGAAAATTTTCAACGTCATGACTTTTGGGGCCAAGCCTGACGGCAAGAGTGACAGCACTCAGGTATGTATGATTAGTTAATTAGTTAAATCTTGAGCTTATTCATCGAGTAAATGGGTGTGATATTGAATATTATCAATGCAGGGTTTCATGCAAGCATGGCAATCAACCTGCAAATCCCCAACGCCTGCGAGGATGTACGTGCCAGCAGGTTCTTTCTTGGTTGATTCAATGTTCTTCCAAGGGCCATGCAGCAATCCAAGAGGCATCACAGTTCAAGTTGAAGGAACCGTTTTGGCTTCCACAGATCCATCTGTGTATGAGAATGGCGAATGGCTCATGTTCGAAAACCTCGTTGGCATCAAACTCATTGGTGGCGGTACCTTCGACGGTCAGGGCAAGTCTTTCTGGGAATTCAACGTCGACTGTGACAAAAACTCTGGCAGTACATGCGTCAGACTCCCCAGCGTAAGTTCTCTTCACGGTTCATAAAATAGTATTGTGACTTGACATAGATTTGATAATTTGATATTGATGGAAGAGATGGGTATTGCAGAGCATATTCTTCAACAACGTGACTAATGGACTGATACAGAACATCAAGTCTTCGAACTCCAAAGGCTTTCACATCTTCATCACAAACTCTGCAAACATCAGAGTACGGAAAGTTAAGCTGATTGCACCCGATGATAGCCCCAACACCGATGGCATTCATATAAGCCACTCCATCAATATCATTGCCTCCAGGAATACCATTGGAACAGGAGATGACTGTGTTTCTATCATTCAAGGAGTCAAGAATGTCGCCATCAACAGACTCACCTGCGGCCCTGGACATGGCATCAGGTAATAATAACAACATGCTGTTTCAATAACCTGTTGGTAAATTCTTTCAATAGGACTAGTTCATGGATAGTGCTTGTTTCTGATTGTCTTTCGCTGACACAGTATTGGTAGCCTTGGGAAGTATGAGGATGAGCTGGAGGTGAGCAACATTCAAGTGCAGGACAGCACCTTGGTGGGTACAACCAATGGTCTGAGACTCAAAGCATGGCCGGATAAGTATCCTGGAGCGGCTTCGTCCATATTCTTCTCTGGCATTGCAATGAACAATGTTAAAAACCCCATTATCATTGATGAACAGTACCAATGCGATCCTGAAAACTGCAAAGCCAAGGTAATTAAATTATTCCCTGGAAGTTTCAGCTCCACAATCATGTGATCCTTTTTATTCTCACTTACAACAGCGAGTAGTCTTAGAATCCAATCAGTCTCACTTTCCTGATCAAGAATGAAAGTAAAGAAGGCTAAAATCTGAGTGTTTATGTTTGATTGTACAGCCATCATTGGTGAAGCTGAGCAACATACATTTTTCAAATATAAGGGGTACATCATCATCACCAATCGGAGTGGACTTAAGGTGCAGCGAACTGTTCCCATGCCAAAACGTTGTGCTTTCTAACATTGACCTTAAGATGGGAGGCAAACCTGTCACCAGCAGATGTGTCAGTGTCAAACCCTCCTATGTCGGCATAAATACCCCATTGCCTTGTTCTTAATAATTAGGCCAATCTTCTTATTATCATATAGCGAGGAAGGGAATGAGGGACAGATTGGGGGGGTCAACGGGAGCTTATTCTTGTAGCAGCACCAGTACAGTACAGATAATGCCTATCTCAAAAATGTGTCGATTCTATATGATGAAATGGGGAAAATGTCCTATTCTTTCGATTTATTGGTATAACTTTTTATTATTATACTGTGAAGCATTAGGGATAGTTTTGGATTTTGCTTTGGTTGTATATTCTCCCTAGGCGATTATAATGATGAACTCCCTTAAAACCAATTAAGAAAAACCAACTTCAACAGCTAAGTTCATTTATACTATAAACTTCAACCCAGGATTTGAATGTATAGCCAACTTCAATGTATATATTTGGAAGGAAGTTGCTGTTAAGGCTTCACAACTTGTGCCCATAACATTTGGTGTTTTCATTGAGAGTCTGATGTCATGGAAAGGACAATCCACAAAGAGTTCTAACTGACAAAAGGCTGAGTAAAGTGCCATTGAGTTGACCTTTTAAAAATGTCAGCTCTCAAACAAGGTGGCATTTTTATGAGCCCCTTATTGGGGATCTCACAAGTGGGGTGAGGTTTATAAATTCAACAAGCTAGTTTTTTAGGATGGACTTTTCCTTTATATTTGTACTTGTAACGTTGTAAGTTTGGAAAAATTCCATATAGTTTGGGTACAAATCTAAGTAATGCTTAGTAAGCATGCTAAGTAGATGAGAGGACCATAACTTCAAAAACTGAAGGAGGCTTGACAAAGTAATTATTGAATAATTCATTTGTGGCAGTTGATCAGTTAATATGTACATGAACAAGTCTTCAGTCCTATGGCATCTTAATTGATTCGCTTAAAAGATTATTTTACACCTCTTCGGTTTCCTGTATGGTATATTTATTTGGTCAGATAAATCTCAAGGTTGCATGTCAGTAAGTCTCTTTAAGGAAACGAAGGTTAAGTATGCTGCGGTGAGTAATGGCCATCTTCAAGTGGCAAACATCCCTTTTTATGTTTCATATGACATACTTAATATGACCTAGGTTAAAAGTGGCATAAGAACCTTGAAGTTTTCTCATGTCAGACAATGTGAAGTAAGAAATATGAATTAGATATAATCAAAGGCCAGTTCTTGTAGTATTTTAAATAAATTAATTCCTCAAAGGTTTAACGCAAGTTGGGTGAACCTCCAGGTCTTTTATAGAAATGACATGCAAGTTTTATCTTTCTTGTTTCTATTCTCAAACAGCAACTTCGCTCAGTAATGAGAGAACAATGGAATCACATTACCCAAAGAGCTATATTGATGAAATTTAACAGATCTCTGGATACTAAATGAACTTTATGATATTGAAAATATAACTCTTGAATGCTAGTTAAACTGTTACAACTAGAAAGAAACTCCCCCCAGAAAGATAGGTAAGCGTTCAAAAATTAATATAGAGTAACAAGATTAATGGCTGTAGTTCAAGAAACTCAAGATTAAATATCACAGGATAAGAAGTTGGTGCTATTCTTAAACTCAATTAAGATCTGAGAAGTCATAGTTTCAGCGAATCTGCTAAAAATGGAGAGAGTAGCATTAAGCATAAGTATAGCAGTAGTAGCATATGCAGCCACTTCTAGAATTGGCATGGCAATGGCTCCAGTTCCTGAACCTGTGGATGAATCACCTGCCCAGAATTCAAGAGCAGTGAGATATTTTGATGTCACAAAATACGGAGCAGATTCTGATGGGAAGACAGAAAGTAGCTCTGTAAGTTATTGTCTTGCACCTGAGACGTTGGTTATGGGTCGACATGAGTTCAGGTTTCATTATTTAATCTATTGGAAAGGGGTTTGACCAAAAAAAAAAGTCCAGCTGGGATTTGATCACATTTCTACTAGTAAAATATTCGATTAATTAATGACAGGGAGTTTTCTTCACAAACTAGAAAAGTGATAGGACTGGTCGTCAAATTTTGATGGTAAAGCAAATGAAAAGTGAGATTATAATACCTAAAAGTGAAGATCTTCTTTCTAAAAGTGAGATTTTGATGGTAAAACTAAGGCTAGCTAGCGAGCCATTTCAATCAAATATTTTCTTTCATCATATATCAGTTAAGCTTCAATCACAAATTTAAGGCCAAACATCAGGTTCAATCAACATTTCTCTACCGTAAACCTGTAAAGATGCACAAACAAATTAACTCCTCCGGGTGGACTAAATGTGAAGAATGAGTCTTACTATTCACAGCTGTCGATTTTATATTTTATATTTTATATTGATATTGATTGAAGTTTTTTTATAAATATAATAGGCATTCTTAGCAGCTTGGGAGGATGCATGCTCAGCTGCAGGAAACTCAGTGTTGTTAATTCCAGAAGGAACATTCTTGGTTGGCCCAGTCTCATTTTCAGGGCCCTGCCGCAATAATGAGTCCCCAAAGATAGAGATCGGTGGGACCCTAAAGGCTCCAAGCAGCTTCAATTCCTTCCAATCTTCTGATTGGATTGTGCTCAGAGGATTGAATGGCATCAATCTTACTGGAATCAACAGCATGGCAGTGTTGGATGGTCAAGGTGCTGAATCATGGTCAAAGAATGCTTGCCACAAGCACAAGCATTGCTTCAATCTCCCTAGTGTGAGTCCCAAATTTCATTCTTTCATCAGTTTAACTCCAATTTAATGTGTTTTTTGTATTCTTGTATTTGTTTATACTGTTTATTTGTTCAGAGGTTCTTAAGTAAGTTCCATTGCAACTTCAAGGTAAGAAGAGATACGTATATGCTAATATTGCTAAAACAATATTGAAAGAATTGCACCTATCAAATGCTATATTTTCAAACTAACCGAACAATTTTGGGCTCTGCAGAGTCTAAGGTTCATGAATGTTTCACATGGGACAGTGAGCAGCATAAGTTTGCTGAATAGCAAGTTCTTCCATGTTGTGATCTACAAGTGTGACAACATGAATGTGTCAAACATAAACATCAAAGCACCTGCTGACAGCCCGAACACTGATGGAATCCACATTAGTCTCTCCTCTACCATCAGCATCACCTCCTCAATAATTGGAGTTGGAGATGACTGTGTCTCCATTGGACCAGGCACCACCAACTTATCTGTCTCATTTGTGCATTGCGGTCCAGGCCATGGAATCAGGTTCTAATTCATATTTTATCATAATAATGTTGGACACAAATCTAACACACCTACAAGTGTTTGTGTTGACATAAATGAGAAGTTCAATTTTCTGTTTTGAACAGTGTGGGAAGCCTGGGAAAATACCCAGATGAGATGGACGTTGATGGGGTTCATGTTTCCAACTGTACAATCAATGGTACTCAGAATGGTGTGAGAGTGAAAACCTGGCCAGGGGCTCCACATGGTCAGGCTTCAAATTTAGTGTTTGAGGACATAGCCATGATTAATGTCTCAAACCCAATAATAGTAGACCAAGAATACTGCCCCTCACGGACCTGCAAGACTATGAAGGTGAGCAATTAAGAAGCACACACAGATAAAGGCTGTTTTTTTTTTTCGGATTTTGTTAATGATTTGATTGTTTCTTGTTTTGAGTTACAGCCATCCGGAGTGAAGCTGAGGGACATGAAGTTCAAGAACATCAGTGGAACTTACAGCACCAAGTTTGCAGTAACTCTGCTGTGCAGCTCAGATGTTCCTTGTGAGAATGTGCAGATGGTTGGCATCAATCTGAATTCCACAGTACTGCAAGATTTCGAAACGTACAGCTTTGTTACAAGGGGTGGCATTGATGGTTTAAAATTTCTTAATTCTTAGTTCTGAAAGGCCTATTAATTCGGAGCACAATTATTTTTGGACGTGCTGAAACTGTGGCTGTATGGGGCATCGCTTGTTCAACGTCCCTTCTGTTACTTTATTTTGCATTAGTTTTTCAGCTTCATTTTATTTTATATATATATATATATATATTTAACGATTGGCCAGCTTGCGCGAGCCTTCAGATTGTATCTAAGCTCTATCTGCATTTTTTTTTTTAGCTCTAACCTCTCCAAATAAGCACAAGTTAACCTACTTGTTGTTTATTTGAAAACTCGTGGACCTTAGGACTTTGGAGTTTCTACCAAGAATAAATGATTAAATGATGAAGACCTTTGATTAAAATTTCAATAATTTGAGGTTCTTAATTGCGATAAATGCTTTTTGGCAAAAAAAAAAAAAGTTAAAAATGCTTTTATAAAAAATTTAAATTGAACTTATGTAACAGTTCATTTCTCAATCATGTTACTACAGAGATTAGGAAGAAATTTAGTAAATAAATATTGTTAATTACTCTTTTCATTAAAAAATGTAATGTATTTTTTGAAGAATTAAATATTTAATATATTTTTTAAAAATTTAGATATTTTATAAAAATATTTTTAATTTTTTAAAATATAATTATTGCTTTGTTTTTAAAAGCGTTTTTATTAAATAAATTATTTTATATTTATTTTAAGGTAAAATAATTTATTAAATAAAGATCAATATAAAAAAATGAGGTTAATTTGAAGATAAGTAATTATTTTATTAAAAGTTATATTTTTTAATAAAAAAAATATGTAATATTAAAAAAAATAAAGAAAGAAAGAAATCGTTAATTCCCTCACTATTTGGAGTTTTGGACTCCTAAGTTCTAACTTGCTCCAAAACAACGTTTCAAAACGGCGTCGTCGTTCATATTGCCTTTCTCTGTGATTTTGTACACCCAAGGTCTTAAACCCGATGGACTGACAAATTTGATAGCTCGCTGGTCGGCGATATTCTGGTGACGAATGGCGCACTTTGTCCGGCGCATCTTAGCATCTTCCCTCATTCGAGCTCTCTCTCATTCTTCGTCTTCTCGTACAACTGTTTGTCGCTCTCGTTTCCCACTGGCCTTGCTCGCCGCCAGACAAGCCCTTCTGGTTCCAAATCGATTAAAAACTTCCGGGTCGGGTTACTCGCCCTTGAACGACCCGTCGCCGAACTGGAGCAACCGCCCTCCTAAAGAGACGATTCTTCTCGATGGCTGCGACTACGAGCACTGGCTCATTGTCATGGAGTTTCCCGATAATCCCAAACCCACTGACGAGGAAATGATCAACGCATATGTCAAAACCCTAGCCCAGGTCGTAGGAAGGTAAACAAATTCGCTCTTCCTATTCTAATGGGACCTTAGTTCTTCTGGGGCTTTTCTTCTCATGAGGACTTGTTTGGCTGGGTACAGTGAGGAGGAGGCCAAAAAGAAAATATACTCAGTTTCTACTGCCACGTATACTGGTTTTGGTGCCCTGATTTCCGAAGAGCTTTCTTACAAGGTTAAAGGTAATCGTGGTCTTTGGTGTATAAAAATTGAGGCTCTTTCCTCTGCGTCCTTTATTTCTGTTGGTGTTTTTTGCTGCTCCACGGAAATAGTTTATCCCAGCTGTACCTGAGTTATCAAAGTCTTAGAGTGAATTTAATTTTTTATGCTTCAATGAAATTATAGTTTTGATAATTTTATAATCCAATGTCGAGGTAGTTCTTTCTGGTTTGGTGCTTTAATTACTAGGACTATTTTTTGAAATCTTGGTTTCATTATTGACACAAGTCCATTTCATATCAGACTATCAGAGGCTATCAACTTTCGTATGATAAAAGTTTGCTGGTCAAAGCAGTGACTTTTGAGCTATTGACAGCTTGTTTACATGCGTGTCATCTTGGATAATTTGGTTGGATAAAAATATCTGAAGTTCATTGCTCTAGGTTATCGAATTGATGAATGTTATAACGAATGCCAAAGGAACTGCACCTAAGTCTTGATAGTAATGCTTGATTTTTGTGTGTGTGTTTTTTTTTTTAACCTTCCCTGATAGGATTACCTGGTGTTCTTTGGGTGTTGCCGGATTCATATATTGATGTTCCCAACAAAGATTATGGAGGTGAGTGCATGAGCCTGAAATTTTGGCATTGATTAATATTTGTGTATGCCTGTTCCCCTCCCTTGATCGATCACTGTGTGTTGGACTCCAGGTGATTTATTTATTGACGGGAAAGTAATCCCTCGGCCACAGTACAGATATAGTGAAAGGCAAACAACAAGGAACAGGCCTCGGCCGAGGTATGATCGGCGCAGGGAAACAATGCGGGTTGATAGGAGAGAGCCTGCCCATTTACAGAATCTGAGCCAAGGTCAGGGAGTACCCCTGCAGCAATCAAGCCCAATGGATAGCCAAAACTCAGCATCAAGTGGAGCAACCCAAGCAAATCTGAACAATAGCTGAGTAGCAATGCTTGAGAAATTTCTATACATGTGAAACAAGTTCGCTAGTCTGAGAAAGCTAAGGTTTGAGTTCACTGGACATTCATTTAGTGATGATATTTGGCGGCATGATAAAGAAAAAATTATATGTACTCGGAAGATTGATTCAAGTACAAAACGTGGACGTAAAGGCTTATCAGTTTTGTTTTGATATGCAATTCAGATATCTGACAATTATAATTGATAGCAGTAGAATGAGAATGAAATGCAGACAGTTCTTTTGATTCACTCTTAAGGGTGAAAACATGAGTGTTGAAGTTTGAGAAGTAACGTAGTATGTAGTAAAATTACTTGAGGTCACCTTGGGGTAAAGTCTTGACATGTTTTGGGATATGTATTGGAAATTATCTCAATTCCCCTATCACTTATGCTAAATTTGCAATAAAAGCAAATTAATATACATAGCCGAGACTTCAAATGAACGTGTTTGGCTTTCAATTATATTTGTGTAGAATTGCTACAAATACATAATGCAATAATCATGCTTTTATTCTCTTCGAAATTATTATTCTATCATCTTTATGATACTAAGCTTTGACTCGTTTTCTCTCTAATGTATGCTATACTTTTTTCAAACCTCTAAATGTGACCTCTTTCAAGGTTTGACTAATAAGCTTTAATGGACACTATGCTCTCAACGAGAACAGAAGTTCACGTTGAGATATCATCTAATTAGATTTGTTTATGTATGTTTTCAAAATTATTTTTTTATAGAATACATGATACTGTAAACTATCATTGTTGTCACATACTATGTATTTGAGATCAATAATATTAATGTGTTATTTAGTTTTTTTTTTTAAACTAAGTTGGGTCTTTAGTTGGATTGCATTTATTTGCAACCTACTGAAAAAATGATGAATGGGAATGACATAATTGTGATTAATTTTGTGTAAGGTAGAATTATAGTTCATTTTTAATGTTGTCAAATATATTTTGGATATAACATTAGTTGTTCTTCAAGATCCTTTGTTAATTTTGTCTTGGACCAATATCTTTAGAACTTTTGTGTGTAAATTTATTTACATCTGATCAAAGTAATTACATATACAGAAAAACTTATGATAGTTGATGTCTTATTTTGTTGTTAAAGTGTGTTATTCAGTGTCTTTGAACTATAGTCATTTAGTGAAATGTTAGAAGAGCATAAAAGCAAATAAAAAATATTAATGTTATTTTATAATTTAATTTTCTGAAAATATACAACTTCCTGCCCATGACCAAAAAAAAATGATGTTTAATAAATAAAAGAAAAGACAAAACGGAGCACCGTGCACGTGAGGGACATCCCCACAGAAGCTCAAACGGCGCCCATCACATGGCGTTACCCAACAAAAAAAAAAAAAAGGGCTTGGTCTGCTATTTATCTGTTGTTGTGCTGCTATCAAGAAAATAGAGAAAATTGATTTTTTTTTAGGTGATCTAGGATATACTTTTTTAGTTCTATTTATAAGAAATAGAGTGTAGATTAATTTTACTCATGCTTGACCGGCACCTGCCATTCTTCATTGATCATTGAGACAACACGCGAATCTGCCATTGTTGAGCTACATATCCCTAAAAATTTGGACCATATCTTTACTATTTTACTCTCCAAATTCATTTATTGTCTTCATTTTTATTAATGAAAGATATTTTTAAAAATTTTAAAAAATTAAAATTGTAAATTATATTTGATGAATTTTGTCAAAAAGTACTCCTTCGGTTTATTTTTAGGGAAGGAAAAAGATTAATTTATATAAAATATTTTATTATTTTTTATATTCATCTTTACTTTTCTATTTTTTTTTGACCAACTATCTTTATGCCCTCATTAAAAGATAAAATAATAAATTTAGTCATCAACTATTTTTCATAAGTATTGAGTAGCCTATACTATTAAATGGTGTAAAATAAATTTTTAACTTTCAAAAATGAAACATCTAATAGCCCATTATTAATTTTACCCACAAATGACACATGGCACTTTACTTCAACTTGGGTAAAGTATAAATTTAAACACAAACTATTTTCTAAAGAGCATTAGGTAACTTCTATTATAAAAAAATGGATCATTTAACATATTCCTATCAGTTTTTACTAAATATTATTTATTTTCATACCAATAAAAACCCATGACACATCAATCTCTCCAAACTTATTGCTTTTGTTCTCAGTCTTAATCTAAAAGGAAGAAGTTTATAGAGTTTTTATTTAAAGACATTTATGAAGATGATGCCATTGAAGTAAAAATTTGATCTTACTACATATAAGAGAAGCTTGATTTTAGATTATTTTAGTCATAAATTATTTTTCTATTTCATTAGCATCGTTCTTGTGAATATTTTTAAATAAAAACTCTTTAAATATTTTCTTCCCGAGTTGAAACTAAGAACAAAGGCAAGAAAATTAAAGAGATTGACACGTTGTGAGTCTCATAAATCTAAAATTAAATAGTGTTTAGTTAAAATTAATGGAAATGTATTGGATAATTTATTTTTTATAGTAGAAGCTACCCAGTGCTCCTTAAAAATAATTCGTGGTTAAATTTGTACCACCACATGTCATTTGTGAGCCCCACATAAAATTCGTCGAGTAAAATTAATGGTGAACTATTGAATGCTTCATTTTTAAAAGTTAAAAGTTAATTTCGTATATAAGCTACCCAATACTCTTGAAAAAATAATTGATAGCCAAATTTGCTACTTTATCCCTTATTAAATACTAGAAGAAATTGTTAAAAATAATTCTTTATGTCTTTATTAAGAGTATATGTAAAAACATATAAAATTTTAAAATGAAATTAATGAGTTTTAATATTTTTTTTTATTTTCATAAAATATATTAAAATTTATTTATAAAAAAATTAAGAAGAGATATTTTATAAGGGTAATTAGTCTCTTTCAATACATTAAATTAATATTATTTTCTTTGCAATTCGCAATAATAAGCCAAATATTATTCCCAAATCAAAGGGCTGGTTGCAGGTGTGTGTAAATGTAAGTTTTGCAATTTAATTTAAAAATTCAATAAGAGTAATGCCGCGTTCAATGGAAAAGAAATTCATAATTCAGTTGTTGTCTGCCACTATAAAAATTCCAAAATTGAAGTCATCCATTCGGCTTTCCCCGCCAATATATGGACATCTCCAGTATTCTGGACCTCCTTCTCGCGACAGGGAGATTTGCAGATAATCCATTTACAATCACGAATCTTCCTGTACCAGGTACACGTAGATCCTCTATTCTCCCGATCCCGTCCATAGGTTGCAAATTTTCTTTTGCACGTTTACTGAAATGAATTCGAATTGTGGCAAATCCAATCAACAGAAAGGTTCCTCAGCCGCTTTGAACAACTTCAATTTCGACTTTGATCTTGGGATCGGATCGAATCGACCCAAATCTCTCAACGACCAGAAAAACCATACCTCGTCCAATTCATTTTTCACTTCTTCCTCCTCCACATTTTCGTCTACTCAACCAAGACCCGCTTGGCAACTAAGCAAGCCATCATGGACTCACCAGCCGGTGCCCAGTCTGGCGGCTCAGCCCGGCTTGCCGAATGGGCCCGTTTCAATGGTTGGGGATGTATTCGGCAGGAGCTGGGGATCGACTCAACCTTCGGCTTCGAAATCGAGCATCGGACCTATTAATAAAGATCCTAATCTCTTTGGGGATTTGGTAGGTTCTGCTTTAGGGCAGAGTTCAAAGAGTAGTAGCAATGTTCCCCTGAAAAATGGGGCGCCTTTCGAAGGCGTCTGGTACCACATCGAACAAGAGTCCTTTTTCTATGGAGAACATGGCGGATTCTTTGCCTAAAACTGGCGGTACAGTTCAAAGTAGTGGAAGTTGGGGATCTTCTGGGAATATGGGGAACTATCCTAGCGGCTACAATGGTAATAGTGGCACGAGTTTCAATAAGAGTACCAATCTTGGTGGTCCTTCGTTGCGCACCATGAATGTTGGAGGTGGTGTAGCTGGAAATGGAATGAGTTCTAATAAAGATCCATTTGGTTCTTTGGCTGGTTTTGGATCCAAACAATCTGGTAGTCTTAATTCAGCTAGCAAAGCAAAGGATAATGAATAATGATACAGGGGATGATGGTTTTGGTCATTTTCAGAGTGGTTCCAAACCGAGCTCTTCTACATTCCTATCAAGTAGTTCAACAAAAAATGGTATCAATCTTAATTGATCTGCGTCTTTGAGTCAAAAGCCCTCGCAAACTTCTAGGGGCGATCCGTTGGACATGTTCTTCTCAACTTCCTCAGCCACAACTGGAAGTGCTGCTGTGGCTTCTGAAGGATTTGGAGGACAGCCCTCTTCAGAAGTTGATGATTGGGGCTTAGATTCTGAATTTGGTGGGGGAGGCCATGATGTGGGTGATACAACCACTGAGCTTGAAGGACTTCCCTCTCTTCCTGCTGGTATGTCTGGTTCTGCAGCAAAAAGCAAAGGGATGGACAATTACAAGCAGGGACAATTTGCTGACGCTAGAAAGTGGCTTTCCTGGGCTATGATCCTTCTTGAGAAAGCAGGTGATAATGCAGGCACTACGGAAGTTTTGTCATGCAGGGCTTCATGTTTCAAAGTAGTTGGGGAGTATAAGAAAGCAGTAGCTGATTGTACAAAGATATAATTTGAAATTTCAATGACTTTTATGCTACATGCTGGGGATAAACTCATGAGTAGACAATTGTGTGAATTATTGAACCACTAGACAATGTTTGTATTGTCAAGATGTGTTCGTTGGATTAATTAGGCTGCTTTTATCTGGGAAAACAAATAAGCTAACTTCAACATACTGTGCTTTTAGTAAATGAAGTTGACAATAACTGAACGGTGAACCAAAAGGGCTGGTGAGATTTTTAGGTGGTGACCGAATCTATTTAAAACCAATGTCGCTATTATCTTATTGAAGAATCTTGACAGCATGTATATTCAGTGGCTGAAGTTTGAAAAGGGTTGTAACTTGCCGTTCTGATATTTAAAAAAAAAAAAAGTTTGAAAAGGCTCGAAAGAGATAACCAAGGCATTAAATCCAACCTTTCCTTGTTATTACCAGCACAAATCTTTATGAAGTGTAATTTGATTTGCATTGTGTTGTGTAGGTGCTTGAGAACGATGAAACAAATGTATCTGTTCTTGTACAGCGTGCTCTTTTGTATGAAAGCATGGAAAAGTACAAACTTGGTGCTGAAGACCTGAGGACTGTTCTGAAGATTGATCCTTCCAATAGAGTTGCAAAAAGTACCATTCACAAGTTGAATAAGATGGCTGATTAGTGATTTTTTCTTTTGACCAATCTAGAATCCTTGATGTCTCAATTTAATAGTTTTATTGCCCTAACCCGTCACCCTCAATAGGCAGGGGGTGATGGTAATTTAATTTCTGTTTATACACTGTTCTGATTGTTGCCGCCCTCCATCTGATCTTCTGTACAAGGTTTCTCTTGTTTATGGCACACGTCCTGCAATTGTTATGGTTACGGCATATTTTTTAGCCAAGACTTGAACATGAATATGACATACAAATTTCTTTTCCTCTTCGTGCTCTTTCTTTCATGTTTCCAGATTGTCTGCATACATTGGCGGGAATTACAGATCTCAACAGCAATTAGAGTGTTACTGTTGCTTTATGAATATAAATAACTTGTGGATTTCTTTATCCTCTAAGTGCACTTCAGTGCATTCTACAGTGCTGGATCTAATCTTTGGTATCATTTTTTTTTAATATGCTTAGTCCTTACAAGTGTAAGCCTGGAAATTCATCTGTAGGTGCTACCAAATACATCAATTCATAGTTATAATATGGTTGTATATGTTTTGGGCAGTTTTAATAGTAGATCAAGTTAATGGTTGTCAAATCTCTGGAATGGGATTTGTTTACTCCAACGGTGTATCAATCCTGTTAACAAACGTGACCCTTTGGAGTTAGCTGTGGTTGAAATCTCAGCATGAAACAATGTTTTTGATTCTATCATTAGCTTCCAGACACTTCCATTAGGAAATGGTACATCGGCCTTGCTGCATGGCAGAGATGGAGAAACCAGAGAATTGCGTGAGTAACTTCAAGGTTTTCCAACTAAAGGAAATTGAGTAGGAAAAAAAAACAAGAAGAAATACATATAATTTAATCATTATCACTGCTCGTATTTGTTATCTGTGATGGATGAATAAATTTAAAATGTTTTTATAACATAAAAAATGCTGGAGTGAGAATTTAAAAACATGAAGAATAATCTTTAAAAGTATTATTCTTTTGGGTACAGAGAAGTTTTGAGTTTATTTTGTTTGGTTTGCGAGATTATAATTATCAAAAATTCTTATATATGTATATATATCTTATGGAGGGAAGGTTGTTTGATTCACCACAAATTTATCGAAATAACAACTGAGGCTAGGAGGAACGAGTTATGGTGTAATTCGTTGGTGTGCTCCTCTTAATGGAAATTGGATGTTTGGTGAGGCTTGATTTCTGCAGTGCATTAGAAGCAGAGTTATGGCCCATGGGGCGTTTAATTGTGTGAGATTTAGAAAGGTGGAAATGGAAGTTGATTCTATGGTGTTTGTCAAGCAGCTTCGCCACTGTTGGAATAAGGAATGGCTGGTGAATGCGGAGCATGTGGCATGAGAGGGAATCAGTGTGCTGATTCTCTTGCATGTGTGGTTTTACACGGTTGATTGTGTCACCCTGATCTGTCTTGCACATAAATGTGGGTTTGGTTTTGATAAGGGTTAGGTTCTGTTCTTTTGTGTCCTTTTTTTGTTTGCTGTAGTTTATTTGTTTTTTAAGGCTTTGCCCCTTCTTGTACAAATATATATATATATATATATATATATGGGAGGACACCGATTATTATTAGGAAAAGAAACAGAAAATAAAAAGGAGTGAAAGTTGGATTGGAGATTGATGATAATGATGAGATGTAGAATCCCAAAGCTAGGAGAGCAGAGGTCAGAAAGGGGGACCATAACAGAATCTGGGCACATCCTCCACCATATACCAAACCCTTTCTCTAGGGAAAATATGTCACCTTCTGCAATTACCACTTCTCCTCGCAACAAATCAAACTAACCAAAAATTTTAACTTACCTTTTAGCATAAAAATTTTTGCCCTAATTGTTATTTTCATTCCACGGTAAAATACTCCCTCCATTAAAGAAATTATAAGGCATTTTTTTTAGATTAGATATTAAAAAATATAAAATATTTTTAATTTGTCAATATACAATTAATAAAAATGGGCCTTCGTCTTTAATTAAATGTAAATGGGAATTAACTTGCTTTTAAGTAGCCTTTTGGCTCCATCGCTAGTTCACTTCAAAACGGATAGGAATAAATGCTCTCTATCTACAAATAGGAGTGATGATATATATATATATATATATATAAAGGAAACTGATGGCGAAGCAAAGGTAGGGGACCTCTCGCCCCTTTAAGGTCATGGACTTCTGCACTGATGCATTCATTTGAACAAATTGTAACTTGAAGCTTCACTAGAGTTTAGCCTCCCAACCAATAATCCTATAGTTTAGTAGCATGTAAATTCTTTTTTACATAGGAGGTTGCTGGTTTAATCCCACCTATAAATTTAGGTCGTTAATGCCTATCCTTTTAATTAAGAAGAAGAAGAAGAAGGACAAGGTTGAGCTTCTGCATCATGGCCCTTGTCATTGTAATGAGATTTTGATCATTCAAAATTGATGTTAAAGGTACACAGACATTATTTTTTGATGGAGTGATAGACTAACATTTATGAGATTGCCTTTGGTTTAAATTCTATACTTATTAAAATAATAGCTTATTAAAAATATTGTATCAAATTTAGACGGTCCTATGAATGATCTTATCCTTTCCTAACCCAAAAATGGGGGGACTTCAAATTTAAATAAGAATTATTGATTAATTAATAATGTCAACGCTATCGCTTTTGAATCACAAGAAATGAATTATCTTGTCGAGGAGGGACTCTGACGTCCTAAAATGTCAAGTTGTTCGTATTTTAGCCACTTTTGCTCCTTCTCTTTACTGTCATGAGCGCCCAAGTTGCATGTTCATGCCATCAATGAGCCCCCAATTTGTTCATTTCCTTCCGTTGTTTTTCTTTCTTCTTTCCCAAAATAGATATATAACTGCATAGGTCTTGCCCAATAAATTCGTCTTCTTCCAAAATTATAAACACTAAGACCAACATCTATTTTTATTTTATATTTTCTACTGAATCATGATATGTGAGTATAGAGTATGCTATTAAAATATTATAATCTGGAGGTACTAAAAATATCATTCCTTGGTTCACAATCAAAAATATAATCAAATTATAATTAAATTAGTTATGATCAAAGTATTTCATTAAACTTGTCAAGACATCAATTTAATGATTTACCAATTCAACTGATCAAATTGACTCAATTTTCAATACTATTGAGAATTTGACAGAGTTTAACCCCCTTTAGAAATCTGATCCTAACAAATTTCTGTCATTGTTGTGTTACTTTTCTTTCTCATCTTTTCATCATCTTGTAGAGTGTTAAGATATCCACTTCTTCAAGCTAGCTGGATGGATATATGGTTGGCACACACATGTACGTACGTATGATGTACAATGTGTGCACGCACAACGTACTTCAATGATACGGCATTATCGTCTTTCCAATAAACAGACAAGAGACGCAACATCATAATCTTCAACTATATGCTCACAAAATAACACATTTGATAAGTCTTCTTTCAATAAAATATCGTGTCAAATAAATCTCGACTCTCCTGCGAATATATAGAAAACAAAGAAAAAAAAACAATCAAATCAATAGTAAATAACACAACAATAATCTCAGTTCTACGTGCGTGTGTGCACACTCATATATAACTAAATGGCTTTGATTTGGTTATCATATCTTACATTCCAGTTTGGTGCTTCCAGGAACTTTATTATGTTTTTGTCTGAAATTTGAGGATGCTTTTGATCTATTCTTCAAAAAGGTTGTTTCAAACTTTAGCCTTTGTGTATCTCTCTCGTCTTCAAATCTTCGATGGGGCTAACAGGGACAGATCGTCGGGTCCAAATCTTGTTGGGGATAATCGTGACATGGCAGCTAGTGATGTGGCTTTTTAAACCCACTTGGAACTGACGCTGTTCAATGTTAATAATATTTTAAATTATTTATGACGCCGTGGACAAATTAAAAACTGAGTTGTTCATGTTTTAAAGTACATGGATACAAACTCGACAAAGCTATGAAGTTCAATTAATTATTATTTACCCTTTTTTATTATATCACCAAAATTATGAGAAACTTGGTGTATTAGTATCATCCACTTGAGCTAATTCGAACCTTTGCTTTGTGGGAGTGTTATTCCCAATAGCAACTTGATGGATAGTTTGTATACTTTATGCAATGCTTAGAACTATAGATAGGGTTGTTTCTATCAACTATCAACTATCAAGCCCTAACCACTTTGATGGGGTTGTTTCTATCATGAAAATGTGCAAAATTTAATATTGAGCCAATACATTTATTATTTATATATAATATAATGGAACCAAGTTTTTCCCTACTTGTAGAAGGTCACGTGTTCAATTCCGTAACTACTACCTTATTTTGTTTGGTAGACTGCAAGAATTACATTACTCTCTTTTTCTTTTCAAAGGTAGTAAACAGGATTATAACGTTTGGTATAAATATATACTTTTATTGTTAAAAAATATAAAGTATTTTTTTAAAGTGAGAGATATTAAAAAAATATAAAAAATTTTGGATCTTTCAATATGCAATCAATGAGATTTTTCAAAAATATCTTTAATTGAAGGGTGTAATTAATTAACTAAATTTTTTAATTGAAACATTCTATTAAATAAGGATAAGTATGAAAAAAATATGTAATTTCAAAAAAATAAACTAACTCATTAGGATGTGATTTCATTAAAAATAATTTATAATATTGAACAAAGGAAATAACTAAGCATATTTAATCTGACCAAAAAAACTAAACATATTTAATGAGATAATTTAAAAAAATTTACATGGGAAAATTATATTGAGGTCCCACATAAAAAAATTAATTACTATAAAATTTATTAACAACTGAACTAAACTACATTAACAACATATACCTTGCAATAATCTGGTGGTTACGGCTAAAACATGGTCATTTATATTTCTTGAGAAATGAGATTCATTCAAACCATGAATGATGAAGGGTGCATTAACTTTTTGCTTTTATATGAATTATTATATCTGTATATTACTACTTTTTATTAAAATTCCATGCAAATAAAAAAAATAATTTATTGAGCTAGATTTTCACCATTCCAAAAGAAAGAGGTATTTTATTTTAGTCTTTTACATTCTCATAATCATGAGGTTGGCTTTTCAATTTTTTTGTTAAGTTGTTTTCTTTTTAAACTTGATTTACTTGTTGTTTTAAATTCATGGCGGATTATAATATTCAATATAATAAGGTTAAAAAACTAAACATATTGAATGTGATAATATATATTTAAATATGTTTATATTACATTATCTTATAATGTGTGCAACAACACCACGCTCATTCATTTCTTAAAAAAAAAATTCATTTAAACATAGAACAAAGAGTGAAATTCGTCATTTAGCCTTTTGTTTTTTTGTTTTTTTTTTTTTTTTTGGTTTTTAGAATCCTAGACTTTTCATATTCGTTCATTTTTGGATAAAAAAGATTTATTCAACTATTGAACAAAAGGTGAAATTTGTCATTTGACAGCTTTTATTTTCTTTCAAAATCCTAGGCTTTTCACCCTCATTCATTTCTTGATAAATGAAATTTATTTAAACACTGAATAAAGATTAAAATTTGTCATTTAGCACTTTTTCACGCTTTTTGGATCATGGGCTTTACATGTTCATTCATTCCTTGATAAACAAGATTGATTCAAACATTAAATAAAAAGTTAAGTTTGTTATTTGACAGTTTTTTTAGTATGTTTTAAGAATCACGAGCTTTCTGTGCTTGTTCATTTCTTAATAAACAAGATTTATTCAAACATTGAACAAAAAGTGAAGTTTGTTATTTGACAGTTTTTTTTTTTTTTAAGAATCGTAAGCTTTTTCTGCTTGTTCATTTATTGATAAACGAGATTTATTCAAACATTGAATAGAGGGTGAAGTTTGTCACTTGACAACTTTTTTTCCCATAACTCAAGGCCTTCCATGCTCATTTATTTCTTGATAAATGAGATTTATTCAAACATTGAATAAAGAGAGAAATTTGTCATTTGACAATGTTTTATGCTTTTAGTATCATGGGCTTTACATGCTCATTAATTTCTTGATAAATAAGATTTATCCAAACATTGAGTAAACAGTAAAGTTTGTTATTTGACTTTTTTTTGTTTTAAAAATCATAAGCTTTCTATGCTCGTTCATTTTTTGGTAAACGAGATTTATCCAAACATTGAACAGAGATTGAAATTTGTCACTTGATAGCTTTTTATTTTTTTTAGAGTCTAGGATTTCCATGCTCATTCATTTCTTGATTTATTCAAACATTGAATAAACAGTGAAATTTGTCATTTGATAGTTTTTTACATTTTAAGGATCATGGTTTCACATATTCATTCATTTGTCGGTAAACAAGATTTATTCAAACATTAAATATAGTGAAATTTGTCATTTGACAGTTTTTTTATACTTTCAGAATCACGAGCTTTTCGTGCTCGTTTATTTCTTGATGAACAAAATTTATTCAAATATTAAATAAAGTGTGAAGTTTGTTATATGATAGTTTTCTACGTTTTTAAAATCATAGACTTTCCATACTCGTTTATTTCTTGATAAACGAGATTTGTTCAAACAATAAAAAAAGAGTAAAGTTTGCCATTTGATAATTTTTTACATTTTTAGAATCATAAGCTTTCCATGCTCATTCATTTCTTAATAAATGAGATTTATTCAATTATTGAATAAAAAGTGAAGTTTGTCATTCCATGGGTTTTATGTTTCCAAAATCCGGGATTTTTCACGCTTGTTCTTTTCTTGATTTATTCAAACATTCAACATAAAGTAAAGTTTAGCAAATGATATCTCTTCACATTCGCGGAATCTTAAGCTTCATTTTTTTGAATTCTTTTATTAACGTTTTTACTTTTAAGTGTTTCAATTTACTATTCCAAGTCCTTCACCATGATCCGTGATACTGTTTGATTATTAGAATAAAATAAAATTAAATTAAATAACTTAAAAAGTAAAAATAAAAATGAATTAAACTATCATTCCTCCATAATAAACATGATAAAATTTATTAATACATATTACGAATGTAAGAATCATCACATTCTTCTAAAATTATCATAAATCATGATTTTCAATCTCATGAATTAAATTATACATTCTTTTTATGAATGTGTTCACTTATCCGCTTTATTTATATTATTTTTACCTTTATTTTTTCAATTCATTTCATTCTATTAAGCAAATGGGTCTTATATTTTTTTCTAGCTTTGACAAGCATTGTTATATTTATGTGTTACTTTTATTAAAAATTCTATACAGATCACAAAATTTAATTTATTGAAATAGATTTTTCCCCCTTTTAAAATAAAGTGGATCTTTTTTTTAACCAATAATAAAGAGGATCTCTTTTTAAAGAAAAAAAATCAAATATTTATTTTCTTTTCCACCACATGTAGGCATTTTAGCTACATAGGATTGTATCCACTAGCAAAATCCAACGAGAATGTATAAAAGAAATCCTCCTAAGAGATACACATATTCAAAGTTCATTACTGCTGTATGTAACATGAATGAAAAGAGTGAAATTGAATCTCCAAAACCATTAAAAATTTAACTTTTATAAGCTGATTGAGAAACTAGAACTAGAATCAGATTTACATACCATCAAAATGAGAGTGGCATGCGATTCAAGCCAAAAAAATGTGAATAGCATTACTTTTTGACTCTTTTTTCTCTCAATTAGAAGTTCAAAACTGAAAGCATCTAATTTACGTGAAGAACCAAAAAAAAAAAAGAAAAAAAAATTCATGACAATTTAAAAATAAAAAAAATAGAGAACAGGGCTAAAATCGTGATTCTGATGCCGTCTAGGGGCAAAGGTCTAGAGTCAAACCAAAATTGAAGTGTCTCTGTACGGTACATGCCGGGATTCCTCAGAGAACCCCTTAATTTGTGGGGCAAACTGACGTGCGTTATTCCTAACAAAATCCTACACTCAACCACACCGTCGTTTTCTACACATCCCAACCAGTAGCCGAAACGTGGACCAACCCTAGAGTCGGGAATAAGGGCCGGGCTTGACGGGCCGCCCGTTTAAGTCCGTTTTAATAAGGGTTCGGGTTTAAAAATTTAGCATTTTTTAGGATAACCGGGCTTCAAAGCCCGGCCCTTTTAAGCTCTAGAAAAACCGGCTCGGGCTCGGGCGGCCCGTGAAGCCCGTTTTACTATTCACAAAGTATTTTTTTACCTCTTTTCAGATAATGTGCAAACATTGATTTGTATTTTGTACCAGCAATTGGTTGAATTGTTTTGTGCCATTTTATAGTAATTTTTATATTTTATCTTGTGATATATGTATAGATATATATTTGATAATAAAACAATTTAATTAATAATTATGGTAGGTGATGAAGAAGAAGCTGCAGAAATAATTAATATTGAGCCTCCGCCTCCATCTTTCACAAGTAGACTTACATCTGAGGGTTTTAATATTTTATTTATGGATGATAATGAGGGAGATCTTGATTAGGATTGATGATGATGTTTGCCTTCATCTTATTTGGACTTTTAAATTTTTTGTTCATTTTTTAGATTATGTGAGACTTTGGTTTGATATATGTTAAATTTTAAAATATTCTAAATAAATTTTAATATTAAATTTTATTTTATTTTATTTTATTCTTATCCGGGCTTATGGGCCTGGCCCTAAGCCCTATAAATAAGGGCCGGACTTTAATTTTGAGGTAAAATTAGGGTAACCGGGCTTTAGGGCCTAAGCCCATAAGGGCCGAGCCCATATGAGCTTGGCCCGCCCGTTTATCAACTCTAACCAACCCCACACGTGGGCCCGACCTCCCTCAACCCAAGAGCCAACCGTTCAGAGATCCAACGGCCACCCTGGGAATCTCGCTCAAGCAGGACCGTGCGATTATCAAAGAGAGAAATCATGATTAGGAGGGAGTTTGTCGTCTAGTGTGGGGCTAACGTCGTTCTATAAATTCCAGAGACCTCTATGACCCCTGTCCTCTCACTTTCTCTCCTTCACGTTCATTTTGGATTCGGGGATTCATACACTCTCTCGCTCGTTCGTTTACAGTGACAGAAACGAGAATCTTGCTTCATCTTTTCTTGTCTCTCTCTCTCTCTCTCTCTCTGTTTTGATCATGTGTGGTGGAGCTATCATTTCCGATTTCATTGCCGTCAAGCGAGGCCGGAAACTCACCGCCGGTGACTTCTGGTCCGAGCTCGACCCTTTCTCCGACCTCCTTGGCTTCGATATTAACGCCGGTTCTGCCAAAAACCAAACGCCTCGGAAACTCCCTCAAGTCCCAATCAGTAAAGGTAAAATATTCTTCTCTTGTCGTTTGTTTCCTTAATTCTAGTTTTCTTATGCAGTGTTTGATGGCAACGTTTTCGTATTTTGTTCAGAAAATCCAGTTGTTTATGTCTAGACCGTCATTTTCTTTGAGCATTCTTGTGTATGAAATCAATATTTTTTTGGGGAGGGAGGTTATTCATCAGTGTATAAGAGCTTTTTAATCGTAATACGTTTAATAACTGGTAGCTTCGATCTTAGATAGCATGAGAATAATTCTTCTGAAGTGGTATGCTATATTCATCACCTGGTGAATTGTGTTAATTATATTCAATATGTTTGTTTGGTGGTGGTTAGGTAGGGTGTGCACACAACAACGAGTCAGATTAGAAATGGAGTAAAGTTTAAGCGATGAATTATTTGGCGGTAGGAAAGAGAGTTTTCTTTACATTTTTTATGCTTATTGAAAAGTAAGCAATAAAGGAGGGAAATCTGAAAGCTAAAAAAACTTTTCTTTAGAAGGATTGAGCTCTCTTGATTGTTTCAATATTATACATATGGATGCATGTTAATAAAATAATTTGTCACTCGACTGAAATAATTATTGATTATCGAGATACTCAAACCTCCTGAAATATCAGAATTGTCTTAGATTCACGCAACACTTCTCTCAAAATTTTCCGGGAAAGACGCCATCTCCCAAGAAAATAAAACTTGGCCAGAAAATTCTGGAATATAGTAATGATAAAATGTGTGGTTACTGTGTGAAGAGGCAGGCGAGAAGAAGGAGAAGAAAAGCGTTAGCGCAGAGAAAGCAGGCGGGAAGAGCACTGGACAGAGAGCACGCAAGAACGTGTACAGAGGAATAAGGCAGAGGCCGTGGGGCAAGTGGGCCGCAGAGATAAGGGACCCACACAAGGGCGTCCGGGTGTGGCTCGGCACCTACAACACCGCCGAAGAAGCCGCCAGAGCCTACGACGAAGCGGCCAAGCGCATCCGCGGCGACAAAGCCAAGCTCAACTTCCCGGCCGCTACCGCCCCGAGTCCTCAGCCGGAGCGACCCGCCAAGAAGCGGTGCCTGAGCCCAGAGCTGAGTGACGGGAGCAACCATCCAACCGGGCCACCGACGCCGTACCAGGCGGATCTGGAGCTGAAGCAGCAGATATCAGACCTGGAGTCGCTGCTGGGACTGGAGCCCGAGGAAGAGACGAGCGAGCAGCAGCAGGCGGTGAGCGGAGGAGGGAGCAGCGACGGCGACGAGTGGGCGGAGTCGGTGGAGATGTGGATGCTGGACGACGTCGTGTTGAATCACATGGCAAATAGTGAGCTCTTGTACTGAGGTCTAATTTAGGGAAGCACCCTTGGTGGTCCAGTGGTGGCGAGGTTGAATTAATGGAGGGTATTATTAGATGAAGCGACTTTTATTGACTGTCTGTATGAACAAACTCGTGTGGATGGTTATGGTTAAGGTTCTCTTAAGGATTATGGTTGTGTTTGTGTCTTTTTTTATTTTTTTGGGGTCGGTGGGGGTGAGTAGGTGAAAGACTTTAACTAAGGTGGTGGCATCGTAAATACTGGAGAAATAAAGGCGAGGGTGGTGTGCATGTGTGTATTTGTAACAGTAGTAGAACTATATGGTGGTGTGGCTGGTCGGATGCATGTTTGATGGATGAAGTTGAATGTAATGGGACAGTGAATCATAGTAGTACATGGCGGTGTGGTTGTCGTGTTTTGTCTGGTCTGTCTCATCACCTCCCCACTGATTGCCCGTTTCCAAAGTTGGTTCATGCTTCCCTGGTAAATCCCAAATCCTCCCCGTACTGGAAACACCAACTAACTCTGTATATATAATATTTCATCCGTTTTAAATTATAAAATATTTTTAAAAAAATTTTTTATTTTAAAATATAAAATATTTTTTAATGAATTAAAGTTTCATTAAATGTATTAATTTTAATATTATTTTTTATTTTTTTATAATTAATTTTTATTTTTTTAATATATTAAATAATAAATATTTTTAAAAATTTATATTTTTATTTTAAAAAGATAATATTGTTAGATATATTTAATAAGATTTATTAATATATAAAATTTTATTTAAAAGTGTTTTATAATTTAAAATAATATATATATATATATATATTGATGAATGTGACTAGCTATACTATGGTGTGGCATCGGCGTTCGTTTCAAGAGACTCATGCTTCCGAACGAATAGAGTAATTTTTTACTGTGGTCAAAGAATGCAATTAATAGTCAAAGTTTTCATATCAGTCAGCTTGATTGATTTATCATTTGATTAGTTCTTTTCTTTTATATATATACTTGAAATTTAAATAAATTATATATTTTCTTTATTTAAGTTATATCATTATTATTTGTTCAATTTTAATTGTTATAAAAATGTCATTATTCTTTTTTATTTTTATTTTAGAAAAAGTAACATTAGAGAATTATTATATAAAATTTATATTTCATAAAGATCAAATGATTTTAAAGTAGCTTTGTAATCTTTTAATCTTTGATATATTAATTTTATAAATAAAAAGACTGAAATGCTCCTTAAATAGTAAAAAAAAAACTCTCATTATCATGGTCAGGTTGTCGGAGACCTTGCTATCGACAAGGTCATCGACCACTAGTCGCTAGAGCTCCAGCACTAACAATATTTTATTTGAAAAGTAAACTTTTTAGGTGGCTAAAAGAGTATTTGATTTCAATGACCTTGGCAACTAAAAAGCTTGGTGGCCATGGCAAAAAAAAAAATTATATAAGTATTAAACAAAACACAAAATTACTTCCATGTGATAACGTAATGATGTGTTATTAATTTCTGAACAAAACTTATTATTTTATAAATGTTATTTATTAATCTAATATGGACAATTATAAATTGAGGGTTTCAAAACTTTACTCATTTTACTTATTAAATATCTCAATGTATTGTTGTTAGTTGCAAATAAGTTATTAAAACCAAGCGGGTACTTGTTAGTGAATGACTAACACATACAACTAAATATTTTCTATTAATTTTTTTAACTTGTTAAAACCATAATAGATTATTGTTAATTTCAAATGAATTGTTGTTATTTTATGAATGTCACTTGTTAATCTAACATAGACAATTATAAATTGAGAGCTTTAAAACTTTACTTATTTTACTTGTTAAACGTCCTAATGTATTATTGTTAATTACAAATAAGTTGTTGTCAAAATTAAATAGGTTAAACGTCTCAAATCATTCACTAATAGAGCTATTCTAAAATTATTTAGTTTTTATAGGGTATAAATTGTATACGGTAATGCTTGAATGCTATTTTTTCTTTATTTTACCTATTTAAAAATAAAGTACATCAAGCTTTAACAAGTACAATTAAGGTTTAAAGTTTCATAAAAAGAGGTTTTTGTATTTAATGCCTGAATATATTTTGAATATAACTATCTTCAATTAAAAAAAGAGTTGAAAGACAAAAAATGTCCCAAATGTTTCATGAAAGGAGGACTGGCATCGTTATTTTTTTATTGAAACAATGTCATTTTAAAAGTTTAAAAAAAAAAAAGCAATTTTATCCTTATTGTTAATCCAAACATTCATTAATTATTAAGTCTCTTGTTTTGATTAATAATTTGACGCATGTTTTGGTTTTCCTCTTTTTGAATTGTTGTTTTTCTCTCCATCTCCAGAATTTGGAAAAGCCCGGATCCATGAAGCCAAAAGATAGAATCATCCTCGTGCAACGCACGGGTTTGCAAAATCTAGTTGGATAAAAACAAGGAATTCCTCATCGTGTCACTCTTTTCCATTGGTTTTTATGGAAACTGAATTGGTACGCTCAATCAACGAAAAATAGCAAGATTTTCTACACTCTGGATTAGAGAAAATATAAAAAAGATGGGTTTCTTGCATGTGTGAGAGAGAAGGACAATTCAGGAACAAATGCAAAAGGACATGTGGAAATGGTCAAAAATCATTTTTAATAGTCAACCTTGTTTTTTAGATTCAACGACGCAAAATTGCACTTTTTTTTGAACCTGGAGTGACCTTGCTTTATCTTTAACACTTTTAAGATGACATTGTTTTAACTAAAAAATAAAAATACTTAATACTCTTTTTAAAAAAATTTTTAAGTATTTTTGCCCCTTAACCTTGAAAAAATAGAAGAAACACACGTGCAATAGAAAATACTATAATATAATATGAAACATAAAATAAGCACTTTTTTTCATAATTTGTTTATTTTAAATAAAATATAACATAAACTCATCTCAAAACTTATCTTTCCATGTGTCCAATAAGTAAGATATATTTTTATTTGTATATTAAAAGGAAATCAACAAAAGTCAATCTGGAACAAGGCTGTGGAGTCAAATTCCACTATCAATATGAGAACTTTATTAATGAACAATATTTAAATATTTTTATAAGTATTCTTTGAGTTTAAAGAAATGTCGTAACGACCTGATCCTAATGAGTCGCGAAACCTAATTCAATTAAACTTTTTTTTTTGTTATATGTTTGCAGATTATTTATAAACAAAGTATAAATTATATGAATATCTTATCATACTATCGTTTAACCTTCAATCATGTTCTGAAGTTTCCACCGTCACACACAAAGGTACTTATTGTGATTGATGATGATGATGGTGTTAATTTGAAAGTTTCAAATCCCAAGCGATTAGTCGCGGATAGTAAGCTCTGGCCAAACACGTGCGGTAATGTTTTTTTTTTTTTTTTGGAAAAATGTAGCAGGTTGATCATTAATGTGGAATAAGTCATAAGTGTGTCCTTGAGATCCTTAAAAAATAGACCCAATTTTTTTTTTTTTCCCAATAGACCCAATCTCAGTTGATGTTTTTACGAGTACAAAAGTATTTATGTTGGGTGTAACAGATCGAAAAGGCTGGTCCATTATAATATAAGAAATTAATGTTTGAATTTATATTAGGTACTTTACATTTAATGTTCAATTATATTTAGAACATAATTATTTCCAATATAATAGAAGAACATATGAACAAAAAAAAAAGAGGGGAAAATTGGCAACATTAAATATTTTGCCATGTATTAAATATTTTGTCATGTATTTTTAATTTCAAAGCTAGTAATACAAGTAGGATCACTTCGTGCTGGCTCAAATAGATTCGAACTAAAAAAAAACTTATATAATCAAATCTCGCTCCAAGACTCTTGACTTATTTAGGCCAATCCAAATACTTAAAATTTTTAATTTATTTAAAAAATCAATTTTTAATTAGTTTTCCTTTAAAATAATAGTTACTTACAAATTTTAATAAATTATTAGTCAATTGTTATCACCATATGCTTTATCTATACAAATAATGATAAATGGAGCTAAGTATGCCAATATTTTAACATTTTTAATATAAATATTTTTAATTTAATTTAATTTAATTTAAACTATGTAATAACTTTTAAAATCTATATATGCACATAACCTTGAATGATAGATTGATAATTACTTTGAAGCATATCGGCACATTACTGAAATTTTGGTATCATTCAATCCAAGTATTAAAATACAGTCAAACTACAAATTTATCATTTGCAAATAAGAGATTCTTGCGCAATGATTTGCACCCGGATTGAACAATGCATTGATAGACCAGAAAAGATGTACGTATCTGTTGTTTTGGTAAGAGTTTTTTCTTTTTCCTTTGTTGGTAAAGAACTTAATTTAAATCGTCTTCACTGTTCAATGTTTGAACTCTGAAGTGATTAGCTAACTCGAGGCATGGTTGACAAAAGAAGAGGACCGTACATATTTATCAAATCTATTTATGTCCAAATTTAAAAGAAAATATTCTTAATGGCGAATGCAATGAACTTTGACGCAAAAATTAGACGTTGGTCTGATCGATGCCTTTCATCATTTGAATGTGCGGAGATTGATATAAGACCAAGAGACGTGTAAGAAACAACAGAAAAGGGAAGTGGGACACGTTTGAAAAAAGTTTCAAATGAGGAGAAAGAAGTCGTTGGAAGAATATATATAATTTACTTGAATAAGTTATTATTAGTTTGTTCTGAAATAAGATTTTTCCTTGATTTAAAATTATTTGTTATCCTTCATGGAAAATTAACATTCGTGTACAATATAAATTTCATACCAAATCATAGTATATTCATAAGTAATAAATAATATATTTAACTCACTAATTTAGCTTGTTATGAATGTGGAGATCTTATTCTTCAATAAATCGATACAAGTTTCCTAACTTTTAATAATATGGATAGACTTAACTTTTAAGCAGAACATATCATTTGCTCTCTCTCTCTCTCTCTCTCTCTCTCTCTCTCTCTCTCTCTCTCTCTCTCTCTCTCTCTCTCTCTATATATATATATATATATATTAAATAACAACACTCTAGAGCCACATGTAGTTGAAAGTATAGTCCGGAACAAGGGTTGGGCTTGACCATTTAAACCCATTTTTAAAAAAAATTTGGGCTTAAAAAATGTCATTTTTTATGAAAATCAGGTTTTGAAACTCAGCCCTGATATACCCTAAAAAAATGAGCTTTGACTCAGGTGGCCCTTTTTCATTTTAACTCTAAAAAGGTAAAATATTTTTATCTTTTAAATTGAATTTAAACTTTAAAATATATGTTTATACTTTAAAATTTAGTTTTCAATTATTTATTTTTAAAAATATATGTTTATACTTTAAGATTTAATTTTATTTTTAAAAATATATGTTTATGCTTT